AAGAACCCAAGCTGCCTTCTATGCTTCTTTTGCAGACCTACTGGCTAGTAGCATTTGCTCGTCATGGATTCGTTGATTACAGCAATTTTCGTGCAGTCAGGAGAAATCCATCGACCACTCGTCCACCCTTTGCGTTAATTTCTGTTTTGATGAAAAGCTCTCACTGTCTCCTTGTGGACATTATGCACATTCTGTTACTGAGATTTTATTTAGCTCTTTTTATCAAAACGAAAATTTCACTCACAAAAATTTGTTGCAAAGATAATCTTCCGTTTATTATATTGAGATCGAAACACAACGACAACATTCAATGATAGCTCTTTTCATCTCGGTGAAGTATATCACGCCATCCCATGATTTCAGTTCCTACCTATTCCACTTGCTGACATAATAGGAAGTAACGGTGCTTTCGAAAGCTGTGTCCTCACCGGTGGGACAATCAGCCGTTCTGTGTTTCGGTCATTCGTTTCGATAACAAATTAGTACTGGCGTATGCTGTGGGATCCAGCACACCATTAGCATGCTTATAAGCAACCCCTGAAAGAGAGTCCCGCCAGGAGGTGACTGATGTCGACATCTGCATCTCTCGAACTACTCACATACCTCGGTCTTTCCCTGCTAATACGGAAGGGATTTTGATTTGTTGGGCTTAAAAGACTGTCCTTGCGGATGTGAGGAAGTCTTCAGCTTTGCTTAGAATCTCCCTCTTCCACTTCTAAATACCTTCCATTTAGACGTGGTCACCATTCCAGTTGTTTTTTGACAGGTTCACTGCAATAATTCAAACGTCAAGTAACGGTCTGCTGTGAAAACGGTGGATAAAGCAGTGTAGCGGATGGCTGTGATGTTGGCATCAAATTGCTGGAATTATCCCGAAGAAGCATTCCTTGCTGCTGAGCTGTATAAGACAACGACAGCTGCCTCTCATATTCTTTTCGCGCCTGCAAATTTGTTTTACCTCTTTCTGGACTATCTGAAGATAACAGGCCAGCGCACTGATTGCCGGTGCGA